GTAAAAAGAAATGAAAAGAAAACAGCTAATCACACTAAACCAACTGTCAAACTTAGCGGTTGTAGCATCATTCTGTAATTGCCTTCTGCCTCAGACATGAAGAAGACAAACTAACTGACAGGTGTATATATTTATATATGTTCTTATGTCTATATGTATCCCATATGCTGACTGGCACCATAGACAAGGATAATCAACATATCAAGATAGAATAGAATAGAATAGAATAGAATAGAATAGAATAGAATAGAATAGAATAGAATAGAATAGAATAGAAGAGAATAGAATAGAATAGAAAATCCCTATATGGGGAAATTCATGCATTACAGCAGCAAAAAGGTTATAGAGGTTATATACTTTCACACAAATGTGGACCTATGAGAAATGTATAAGAATAACATACCGTACCAGTGAACAGTTAAAAGATAATCAATAAAATACTGTACTGTAAAGTGTTTTAACAATTGATAATAAAAGATAGAGTATAACGTCAGGGAGCACTAACACAATGCTTATCCTGGTTTCTGTTTGGTATTTAAATAATTACAAAGTAAGAATAAAAATAAACGGGTTCCACCGGCGGGTCCAGCTGCTACATGACCTCGTAATTTTACCAAACCCCCAGTATTGATGTAAAAAACATATTTGGCACAGTTTCGTGACATTTATGGATAAATGTGCCAAAATGGCCTCTCCGCCTAAGAAATTTCTCACTAATACCATTCTAAAATAAATATGATTCATCTGATTGAGTCCAAATTTGGTATATTTTTACACAACATTTAGATTTGAAAGTCTGTACTACTTTTTTGTGCTATAAATAATATTTTGGTAGTGTTTTGCAATGTTTATTTCAAAGAAAATTTTGGCGAGGTTCAAAAAATGCAAAATATTTTGTATTTTGTCCCTAATATTTCAGGCAGGGTCAAAGCTACAATGGTGCTGACACCAGAAAACCATTCTATGACATCTTACCTTTACAGACGTACCAAAAGTTTCTTCTTAAATCTAATAGCTTTGAGGCTATAAGTTATTTACTTTTGTGTGTTTTTGTCAGGCAGAAATTTATTTATACCCCCTTAGGGTGTAAGAGGCTAATTATTTAATGTACACATTGAGCTATCAACAAACAGTCCCCACTCCAGTTCGGTAGGTGGCGGTAAACGCGCCTTAAGTTAGTTTGCTAACCGCCAGGTAAATTCTAAAAGAAGAAGAAGAAGTCGGTCTGTCCACTTTCATCATGGCTCCTCCAGTCGCAGTGTCACCGCTAATCAAGGTAAAATAACAAATATATTTTGCATGCAGTGGGAGTTACCTATTAATGGAAATTTGATAAATAAACTTAAAACTGTCTTTTATAGACAGACACAGGGACCTAAAGTGTTTTCCAGGCCATTGTTTTGGTAGCATGCTAACGGGCACTTGCTAGCTGTGACATTGAAGTCAGTTAGATGTATTTTGCTTCTCAGAACAACGACTAACTTCTTCCATATATGGGTTATATAAAGCGCGTTATTGGTATTATCTAAAGTGAACTGCTATTTCACTTTACTATCTATTTATCTTCTGGCTTATGAGGTTAGTGATAAATGCAAGTCTAATGATCTGTAATTTGGACCAATTTAATGAAAATCATCTTTTCCCTCTATATAAATTGATATTGAAAATGTTCTATTTGTATAGTCTATAAAGGAATGAGTAAAAGACAAGTTCTGTGATGCATAGTGATGGGACTTATTCATACATTACTATCATTATTTAACTATCTCTGCTGAAAACTTTGTTTCTTGTTTAAGGCATTTAATTATTAGATTAATACAAATTGTACATGATATTATTTTAACCAGCACTTTAACCAGCACCAGCTGGCAGAATGATTTGTTTTGTTTTTTTCTGGTTTCCAGACAGCCAGATGGTCTGCTCTGCTGTTGGGAATGCTGTATGGGAAGCAGAGGTTTGGTAAGTGCAGACCCGTCACCAGACCTTAGTCTTAAAGGAATAGTACACCCAAAACATGATTAGCCTTCATTTTCTACTCACCCCCATGCTGAACAACACTCTGGAGTACTTTTTTGATATCTCAAATGCATCTGGAGATCTGGGAGGCTTCTTGCTGTCTGCTGACATTCAAATAATGGAGGTCTATGGTGCCCGAGACAGAAAGGTCCATAAAAGTCCACAAAAAACGTGTCAATATTCCTCCATACTGCTGGTCCAATGTATTCCAAGTGTCCTGAGTGGGTGGCATCCAGAATTTACTCGAAACAAAGTCATTTAGAATGTTTTTAGAGCATAAACAGTAGTGTATAGGATTTCCTGAAAGCGCGCACCTGCGCGTTCATGAAGCTACGGAAGCCGGCAGACTGAACCAGATGAAAGTGCGCAGTCATCGTCTGCTCTGCCAATAATGCAAGCGTAGAAGAAGAAATGTGCTGTTTACCTGTGCAAAGAAAGAAACAACGAAAGAAAAATGTCTGAGGACTTCAGTGTTGAGGAAGAGCATGAGTTCTTTGCCGAGCTGAATGCGCACTTTCATCTGGTTTGGTCTGCCGCGGTTTCCGTAGCGTCGTGAACGCGCTTTCAGCAAAATCCTATACACTACTGTTTGTACCTACTTTAATTGTCTGCAGCACTAACCTTTCCCCAGTCAGTAAAGCAGGAGGCGGCATTTCTCAGGCTGAACCTCCTTGTCGGTGCATCTTTCCACTCAGACTTGAATCTTTGCATCAGGTCCTTTTCAAAAGTGAGCTGAATAAGTTGGGCCTGGCATTTCTGGAGCATGCTGCATTGATGCTTGGAAAAAAAAAAAGTTTTGAAGCCGCAGACTTGTTAGACCTGTTAATTGGCATCTTTCCAGACATTAAATCCCTTACTGGAGAAGTTACAGATTTGAATTTGCTGCAGCCTCAACAGAATGGCAACCCTTTCCACTGAGGCCCACCATGTTTCATCATGGTGATGGGTGTGGTTAAGTGGGCAGCTAAAGGATTCATTGCTGATATACAGTCACATTAAATTTGGGATAAAGGAACTTCCATTACTTGGGTCCCAGCGTTACCAAATGCAGATCTGTTGAACAGAGATTAGCTTAACCTTAAAGATTGTTTATTTTGCGCCTTTTTTCCCCGAATTTTTCTTTTTCTAACAGCTAAATATATATATATATAGTCTAATCCTCCTCTGACAATTGTTTCAAATAAACAATATTACTTGTCATGGGCTTCTTTTCCAAATAGACCAAGATTTCCAACAAAGGCCGGGTTGGTAACAGGTCGTTTTTGTTCTTTTACGCACTTCCTACTTGATTTATTTATTATAAAAGCAGAGACAACATAATTACTAAAAATGTTTAAACGAAAATTAATGTCAATTTAATGTTTGAAGCTCTAAAAAAGTGCTCTCGTCCACACTCCACACCAGACATTTTCCAAACAATCGACCTCCACCCAGCACCTGGTGTGTTCTTAATTACTCAAATTAATTGGAGGGTCTAACACTTAACAACGTAATCTAAACAATTCTAAATGTAAAATAATTTATTACAAATTTTGGTTCTACTTTAACTTAAATATATAATAACTACCCAAAGAAGAAAACTAAATTGGTAGAAATTACAACCTACAAAAATTTAGCGTAAATGGTCACAACATTACTAATGTGGTTACTAGCATTGCAATAATACAGAGGGTCATCTCTCCAAATTCTCCTCCTTGAGGAAATGGGAGAGTTCTGTAATTTTTATCACATGTACAATTTAACTATGAAAAACAAAATGAGAAGGGGGAAAAAGGATATTGCATGGTAGGATTTTTAAATGTACAGTATTTGTAAATTAGGGTCAAAAGTAGGTATTTATACTTGAGGTCTTTAGTCTGGTTAGGCCACTTTAGGACCTTGAAAAGCATTTTAGCCACCCCTGGTCGTGCTGGAAGACCCAGCCATGTTTCATTTTTTGATGCTCTCACTGTTCGAAGGAGGTGTCTTAGAATCCTAACATACGTGGCCCAGTTCATTCCTACCTGAACACGGATCTTTCAACCTTTCTCATAAGCATTATGCTTCCACCCTCATAGGAAATACCCATCTCGAAAATGTTAGCTTATAATTTTTTTTCCCTCTTTTTTTGGGGGTTTATATTTTGTACTTACAGAAATACTCTTTGAACTGACAGTACTGTTTTTGTTTGTTTTTTAAGATTACCTAAAGCCTATTGCTGAGGAGGAGAGGAGGGTTGAGGAGGCAGAAAAGAAGCTCAGAGAAGAGCAGGAGCGCATCTACAAACAACTGTCGGAAGGTAAAAAAGGAGCAATATTTTTGTAATATTCTCCACTTTTTGGTCAACTACATACAATTTTCTTATATTTGTATTTTATACTTACTTTCCTGTTTTTGTTTGTTTTTTCCTTTGCAGCAAATTCTGACACCATCCTCAAATGAACTACCTATGGTCCAATCCTGATCTCAATAAAATCTCCAATGTTTCTCATGCCTTCATTTTAGTGTGGCTGTGTTTTATTTGATGATCTTTCATACCAAAACAGTATCATTTTTTTCCTATGGAAACATTTCAGGGGCATTACAGGTAGTTGGAATACATACTCCTGTCCTTCAGAGACAGATGAGCCCTGGGAAAAGCATTCCTCTAATCCCAGCCTAGTTTAGCTTTAATCCAAGGATTAGGGTCAGGGGCCAGTAGTAGAAAGTGCAATGTGGACAGAATTTATCCTTCAATACTCTTCAGTTGTGTAACATTCTAACCCTCATTATAAAGGGAACGATATTAATGAATGTTACAGAACACTACAGAAGATAGTAGGTATTTGTGAATTAGTATTAGTTTCATGGTTCAACTCTAGAAATTATTGTTTAAATGTCTTTTTTTTTTTAAAGTCTGTCTGAGAAAAGAAAAAAAAACTTACCACTGCTGGTTTGAAAACCAGATCTGTCAGTTCATTTTTACTGGGAATAGAGTTTAACTTTTAAAAAATAAACTGAGACAGCTTTAAAAATACATCTGCTTTATTTGGGCCGTCATTGTAGACAAGGAACAGGCAATGAGGCAAGCTTTAACTCTGGCTGCAAAACAAAATAACTGCATTACATATATAACAGCTGTATCAACATACAGGTTCAGATATTACCTAATATATTTATTTTTATACATCCAAGCCTCAATTTCTACTAAAAAGTGTAATTTAGGCTAGAATGATGCACTCGTGGTTCAGAGAGAGCTGCGTATTTATCAGATAGCTCCTCTGCAGATCTCTAATAAAAATAAGCATTGCTATTTAACCTTGAAAAATATTTTTGAATTTATATATTTACAAGATAAGCAGTATGTACATGTTGTTAAAGCCAGGCTGCTCCTTTTAGTTGGTTAAAACCTTTTTGTTTCCCAGGAGTCAAAATGTTAAGCACTGCTGCCCCGCAGCACCACAGTCCTGGGTTCAGGTCCTGGACCTTATCTCTTATAGTTTACACGTTCTCTGCATTTCTTTAGGACGTGTCAATTTCTTCATTTAGTTGCATAAACTTCTTCATTCTCTTGAAGATGTAGCATTTGGTCACCACTCATCTCCATCACTGAGCTTAATATACTGACTTATTTTAAAGCAATTTAAAACCATCTTAACATTTCATGTACTTTATAAAATGTTGTCTTGGCCATGCTCTTTCCCACACACACGCATACACACAGACTCAGTATGTACATTAAAAAGGCATCACAGAGAAGCAACTACAGACTTCACTGATTGCACTCTCACACATCTATTGCACAGAAATAACCTGTTGCTTTGCCTCACTAATTCTAGCACAATGTAGATATAGATCTCTGGAGTCAAGGTAAACAGACTCTCATTTGTAAATATTGACTGGAAGGAGTGACCATTAAAAAAACTATGTGGTCAATGTTCTACTTTCAGTTTGACCTTGTTAAAGTCTAGACTTGTCCATAAAAATCTAACAGAACTACGTTTTCTTTTTGTGTATTACAATACTTATGGAGCAGGTGTACTATTTGCTATGTGAAGTATTTACAATGGTTTTGTGACACCTGCTAGAATGAAACAAAAAACAAAACATACAAAATATTATTTGTACAGAAGAAACAAGGCTCAGAACAGGAGCACTATAAGAACCTAGTAATAATTCTTAAAAGGTAACTGATCTTTTTGGAACAAAATGATTTAAATGAAAAAACAAATTAAACATTCTATTTAAATACAAGATTATCTCCAGGACCTCGGTGCTGTCCTGGTGTCCTTGTCCTGGTATAGAAGAGCAGAGTTTTCTCTATGAAGAAGTATTTATGGGTTTATAAAAGCATTTTCAAGTTCCTGATTTTATAACTTTTTTGCTTGCCAGTGAATCTGATACATGTTTCCTGTAGTTTTCACATGATTCTGGATTTCCCATCTTCAGTGTCTTTTAGCAAATGGAGCAAGTCTTGGAGCCTCCATCGCTGGGGTTGTTTGCAGCACCTATATGAGACAAAAAAGAAAAAAAAGTACATCTCTGAGTGAACATTAAGCCTGGAACATTCTTGTAGTAAGGAATGTGTTGCTAAATGTTTTCTACAACCAACATGTTGAGTTCATTCATCACTACGATAGGAGGCCACCCAAACAATATACATCCTATTTCCTTCAGACCTCTGATAATAAACTATTAGATTTTGGAGTGCACAGCACACCACCACAAGACTGTAAAGCAACCATAGTGGAGACAGTGATCCCAGCTATGAATATTATTGTTGAAGACTGGGGAAGAAACTCCAACAAAACAGCAGTCCCCCATTTTTTTCTGAAATGATCCTGGCAATTTATGAATGTATATATAAATATATATTTTGAGCTGAACATTTTTAAAATTGATTTTCGTTTATGTCTCCTTATGTGTTTGTTTTTTGCAAAGGAATCCGCCCCTCTTCCTTTATAGTTTTTAATAATGTAATAAATTGTCTTATAGTCTCAGTTCTGTTCCATTTTCATCTTATACAAAAGCAGCTGGGATCTGCAAATAAGCATGATCCCTTTTGCCAAGTTGAGAAGTAACTACACAGATTCATTGCTAAACTTCAATTGTTAGAGCTTAGGACTTTGTAAGTATAAGTTATCAATGTAATTATTATTAGCATGTGGGGATGACGTAACAAAAGATTTAATGTCTTAGTCTGACTAGGTGAAACAAACGATCAGATAGTGACCAAGCATAATGAGTTACCTTTTGCTGCCTTAGCAGCTTCTTTTGCAGCGTTCTCTTCCTCTATGGCTTTAAGTTTAGCCTCATATTCCTCTTTCTTTGCGTTCCATTCTTTCCTGTTGTTAAGGATGCCATCAAGCATGGGTGTGATTTGTGGATGGAAGCGAGAAAACTCCTGTGAAAACATGAGACAAACAAAATAAAGACCAACGAAAATGTAATACGAAGCGAGAAATGAATCAGATGGTTGGGTTTGGCCCAACAATTACATTCTGGTTTACATAAATCAAAGACATATCAATAAATTTCAAATACACCATGCATGGCCTTTGTTGTGCACAAGGAAACAATTGAAGGCAGTACCTTGTAGACAAACGTGCAGACAAAGTCAATGAAACCACACTGGAGCTTTGGAAGGTCTGCTGCTTTATTTCTGTCCATCATTGGCTGTGGAGAGGACAATGCAGTCATTGTTAGGGCGAAGTCATTTATCAAAATAATTAATTTAAACTATTTTCAGAAGATTATTTTATGTTTATGCTTCAATATCATTGTTACTCATTTGCAGTCTAAATTTTCAAGACATTTTACTTAGTATAGTAAAAATATATGTGGAGGATGTAGCTTGATTCTAAACAAATTATTTTTTTCTTATAAAATCTCTTTATGTTATGAACTTAAATGTGTCTGCAGGCATTTATCAAATCTACTTTAACTTTCAGAGAATTGCAAACTCACAATTGGTTGCTGTTCCAACACTGTCCTCTCCAAATCACCTTGTTCCCAGAACTCTGCAGCCACAGACAATGCAACCTGAAGAATAAAGATACAATGATTTGTGACTGAGCAACCAGCTTTCTTCTTTGCTGAGTTTTTTTCATTGCCAATAATCTAACCTTGCTTTGTACTTCCCAGGGCTTTGTGATGGCAGACAAGTCACATGCTGTCATCATCATGGCCCTGAAATAACAAATTACAAAAGTTAGAAATGTGCAGGACTGAAGAAACATGAATGCTTTTATTTCACTCACATGACAATCTCTTTTCTGGTTGTTTCTAGAGACATGAAGTCCACCCATTTCTTCTCATCTTCATAGGTTTTTGAAAGGTCCACGATCTTTTGGAACATTGTTCGCTTCCTGTGATAGAGAATTAATTATCTAATATATTTAAAACCAATGATAAATATATAATAGGTTTAGATCAAGGTTGAGAGGCAGCACTAACTTGAAATAAAGAGCCAGGTCAGTGGCGATGATAGCAATATCGGTAAGATGGATCACATGATCAACCTGCCGCCTGTTCAGGTTCTGGTAGATATTCAGTGACTGCAGATAAAATGCAGAGTTAGATAAGACAGGTAGTTTACGTTAGGTTAAACACCAAGTTCCACCATTTTCTGTTACCTCATCAGAGAGAAGGAACTTTCCAAACTCTAGATGGTGTCGTTCCAGGATGGAGGAGCCGTGTAATTTGGCCAGAGGGTTACCAGATCTGATGAGGGATATAAGAACAATTCCTAAATATTTGCCAGTTAAATCCCCCTCAGCCATCTGAAATTAAACTGAGCGTTGACACATTTAAAAACTCAAAACCTTATAAACTCTTATTCAGTCCAATTTTATCTTCTAGTTTACATAGGACACCGGTGTGAAAAATTATAAAACCTTAAAGCTTTTTTTCCATGGAACAGGATGAACTTTTGTCACGTGGTATTATTTAATCTTACTTATACTTACTTATCTTACTTATATTAAGGACATTGGCTCCCAATGTCAGCTTTGTGTGTGTTTGTGTAAGTCAAACTCCATATATATAAATTTTTCTATTATTGTAAAATCTGCTGCTTGAGTGAAAGTCAGTTTTACCATTTTCATTTATTCAATTCTCATTAATTTATTTGTCTTTCTATATATTCCAAAAATGTTTTTTTTTTTTTTTTTTTTTTAAAGCAATCCACTGGACTTTGTTTCCAAGTTTAAGGACATTTGGCTTCCCATCCAGGAGGCTTTTTCAATTCAAATTCTCAGAAATAGCGTTGAGTCTTTCTTTAAAATGAACACTGGTAAGTCTGAACAAATGCGTCACCTGCTTATTTATATCCAGATACTCAACAAAATATGGATGCAGTTCTGATATACACTATATTGCCAAAAGTATTTGCTCACCTGCCTTGACTCACATATGAGCTTAAGTGACATCCCGTTCCTAATCCATAGGGTTCAATATGACGTCGGTCCACCCTTTGCAGCTAGAACAGCTTCAACTCTTCTGGGAAGGCTGTCCACAAGGTTTAGGAGTGTGTTTATGGGAATTTTTGACCATTCTTCCAGAAGCGCATTTGTGAGGTCGCACACTGATGTTGGACGAGAAGGCCTGGCTCTCAGTCTCCGCTCTAATTCATCCCAAAGGTGTTCTATCGGGTTGAGGTCAGGACTCTGTGCAGGCCAGTCAAGTTCATCCACACCAGACTCTGTCATCCATGTCTTTATGGACCTTGCTTTGTGCACTGGTGCACAGTCATGTTGGAAGAGGAAGGGGCCAGCTCCAAACTGTTCCCACAAAGTTGGGAGCATGGAATTGTCCAAAATGTCTTGGTATGCTGAAGCATTCAGAGTTCCTTTCACTGGAACTAAGGGGCCAAGCCCAGCTCCTGAAAAACAACCTCACACCATAATCCCCCCTTCACCAAACTTTACACTTGGCACAATGCAGTCAGACAAGTACCGTTCTCCTGGCAACCGCCAAACCCAGACCCGTCCATCAGATTGCCAGATGGAGAAGCGCGATTCGTCACTCCAGAGAACGCGTCTCCACTGCTCTAGAGTCCAGTGGCGGCGTGCTTTACACCACCGCATCCGACGCTTTGCATTGCACTTGGTGATGTATGGCTTGGATGCAGCTGCTCGACCATGGAAACCCATTCCATGAAGCTCTCTGCGCACTGTTCTTGAGCTAATCTGAAGGCCACATGAAGTTTGGAGGTCTGTAGTGATTGACTCTGCAGAAAGTTGGCGACCTCTTCGCACTATGCGCGTCAGCATCCGCTGACCCCGCTCCGTCAGTTTACGTGGCCTACCACTTCGTGGCTGAGTTGCTGTCGTTCCCAAACACTTCCATTTTCTTATAATACAGCTGACAGTTGACTGTGGAATATTTAGGAGCGAGGAAATTTCACGACTGGATTTGTTGCACAGGTGGCATCCTATCACAGTTCCACGCTGGAATTCACTGAGCTCCTGAGAGCGACCCATTCTTTCACAAATGTTTGTAAAAACAGTCTGCATGCCTAGGTGCTTGAATTTATACACCTGTGGCCATGGAAGTGATTGGAACACCTGATTCCAATAATTTGGATGGGTGAGCAAATACTTTTGGCAATATAGTGTATTTTGTTAAGGAAAGCTCTGTTTACACCTTGAAGCTTTCTCTCCCTGATTCTTTCCTGAGAAGAGTTCACTTATGACAAACTCTTTAAATAACACTACATAATGTATATGTATTAAATATCAATGAGACATGGCAAAAGATTATGACAGAAATTGTGATCTTAGTCAGCCCAGAGAAGTTAATTAGGGTTATGGAAGACAGCTGCTTATCAACCGGGGCATATCTCGTTGAAGTGGCCCCGACTCACAGTTAAAGAAGCATTTTATACAACTCCAGTATGCAACATGATCACACATTATGTAATACACGTTTGTAGAGGAGGCGACATCCATGGCTCAAGCTTTTTTAAAATATTACACTTTGTTCTTAGATAAAGGACACTGCTCTCGTTCCATTCCTAAATCTTTGCCATGTGCAGAATGAAGATGACCTTTTATCCTGACAGAGGAACTGTCCTAATTATATTAACTAGTTTGGAAACCATTATTTCTAACACAACAGGCAGGTATTATTAGGGTTTAGCTGGCTCACACATCACATCAACAACAATAATCCTAACAATTTAAAACAGAATTCAGCGCTGTTTCTGATACCTCAGAGAACAATAAAAAAATTTATTGTTTTATTTAAGGCAAAGACTTTTGAATCTCCATGTTATTTCGGCTTGTTATTGACTTGTTTCTTCTAAATCCTATTCTTTTAAATTGAGTGGAATGCATTGTTCATTAAATAATTTAAATCCAGTTTAATATGAAGAACAAGCAATCTTAAAACATATTTGTCTTTTTTGAAATAACTATTCCATCAGAAGTTTACACTATTTTATATGAAAAGAAGTCCATTTAAATGAGTAAAGAGAGGAAAAATTGTATTCACTTACTTGACCTGGTACAAGTTGTTTGTTCCCCGGTGGTCAATATCATGCAGAAATCCTGCTGTGATCATAGCCATAACTTCTAGATCTGTGTAGTATCGCTTCAGATGTCCTGTCTGAGCACACAGGACGAAAATATCAATATGAAGCATTTTGAAGATTAGACAATAACTGAACTGGTTTTAAGGGTGTGTTTTTTGTTTCTTTTTTAACAAATACCGTTAACAATGTGAACATGGTCTGTCCCACGTTGAAGCCGTGACGCCAGTTGTGGTAGGTGATTTTTCTGTAGCCTTTACTGACTGAATACATGAAACGAACCAGCACCTTCATAGAAAACAAATAGTAATGTCTCCATCTGGTTGTGCTCCTTAGTAAAACTAGATGTTTTTTTTATATGCAACTATTTTACTTCTTGAGGGATCTGGAACTTCTTCACCACGCCGACTTCATAGTACATCTGAATCCCGCACTTCACCAGATCCAGTTCTGTGCAGTTAAAATCCGAGAAGCGGAACTCGTAGATCTCATATTTCTTGATAAGAGGAGGGAGATCTTTTTTCTAAAATTATAACAGGAGAATATGTAAACTAAGTGACAAAGAAGAAGGCATGAAAAGTATTTTGAATTACATTTTCTCCATGGTCATACACTACAGTATCATTTTATTTCTATTCTGAATACAATATACATATGTACTATACAAATTCAGCATTACCAGAATCTCTAAAAGATCCTCTTCTTCACACTCCCAGGGTTCGCAGTTGTAGAGCTCTCTTGTGTTCTAGAAAAAAAGTGACATTTTAACTTTAACTAATTAAACCTAATGGGAAAAATTCAAAAGCAAATATAAATATCTTTAGAATTAAAAAGACTGTGAAATACACTTATTCTTTTTGACCAAGGTGATAGACTTCTCTAAGCCTTACCAATAACACCCATATTTATTAATTGCACCTCCATTATTTAACCCTAATCCTTTATCCCAGTCCATTTAGTAACCCCAAACCATTAGTCTCTCATGCCTTCTGTGTGTTTTGACTCCTGATACTGTCAATACAACATATACATCACACCTTTTAACTTGTTTGGTTGAGTAACTGTTATTATTTTAAATGTATTTTGCAAACATAGTCTATCCTTCCAAAAAGAAAATGTTAGCTGAAATTCAAGAATGTTAATTATCTTCTTTCCGGGAATGCTGGGGTTGTTAATATAGGTGAAGTAAAAGTATCTTAACCATAATAGTTAGCAAAAATATATATATATTACTTTTGTAGGGAAACAGGGATGATTGAAATACAATGCGAGATAAATTAGCTTTTAACAATGGCTTTTCCTCAACAAAGCTCAAAGGGTGATAGAAAAAGTACCATCTTTATACCAGGGCAACTTTCTGGGGTACATTTCTATTCATGTAATTAGAGATTTCTGGAGTAGAACGGAACTAATGAATTTAAATTTTCATGATTTTAATTTAAAGTTCCACTGACCAGGACATTCTGGATCTCATCATTTCGACATTTGACATGGTAGAGCACCATGTCCTGAGCGATGTCCTTCCGGTTCTCAAGCCTGTTCATCTTATCATACGTATCTGATATCAGGACTGACCATCCCAGGAACTGAGTCAAAGCCTTCGAATCAGAGATATTAACTTTAAAACACCACTTTATAAAGATATTAGAAATGTGTTGTTTTATGAATGTAGTTCATTTAGTCAATTGACAAACAGACAGATCTGCCTGACCTCCATTAGATTTTCATCGTGATCATCAAAAGGCTTTCCATCCTTCCTGTTATAAAAGGTTGCCACACCAACTATTTCTTCTTTCTTGTTAACAATAGGAAGCGAGAGAACATTCTTTATGGTCCAGCCACTGCTGTCCAAGGCTTCTTTCTGCAATAAAAAAAAGAAAACTCAGCTAAAAGAACTTTCCATTTTAACATAAAAGAAAAAATCAACATCACCAGCAATATTAAACTTAAATTTTGGGATAAATCATGTTTCCACAAAGAGTGATGATCAACCATTAGTATTTTGAGCTGATAATACAAATCTATTTAGAGCAAAAAAATGTCTTTATGGAGTTTTTTTCCATCTAAGTTGTAATTTATTTTATTAACTCTATAATATAGTTTGAAAGGAAGTTAGTATATGGTTTGTAATCTTAAGCAAACAACTTATTTGCGAGTTTTTATCAGCGTGCAGTTCCAAAAGAAGTATTCAAAGAAGAATAGATTAATAGATTAACATTTTTTGTGCCAGTTTTCAATTTACATTGGTTTTATTACTCCTAAAAATTAGGTTTTCATTGTTTGTTTTGGTCTTTCCTTTAGTTTGACATCATTCATCTCAAGACTGACCATATCTTATATTTTGCTGGTATAAATTTTTTTTATATATATAATTTTATGTTTTTATGTCATAATATAAAAAAAGAAGACTATCAGTCCATTTCTAATGTTTTCTGAAGATGGTCCCTATCCCTAACCGTGTCGTCTTCCACTGATCTGAGATCAGAGTGGGACATGAGCAGGACTTAGCTAATTGTGAATGATCAATCTTTAGCAAAGAAGGGACTTTGTCAAACACCTGGAAAGGTTAAAAGTCTCACCTGGAATTGAAAGGTCTCATCAGCAGCTGCATTCATGATGTTGCAAATCTAAAGGGAAAAAAAAGAAAAATAATTAATTTTGCATTAAATAATTTAACAAATAGCTGCACTAATTGAAAAAGAAACTCACAAATCCACTCTCAGCAACATAAGTAGGAAGGCCGCTGCTCAAGGCCCAGTGGTCTGCAGGTGGCGTTCTTTGTAACAAATTGAAAGAGAAACATCAGCAGATGTGGCTATAAATTACATCCATTCTGCAACTGATTTATGATAATCAATATAATACTTTTTAAACCGCTGTGAATAGTGTTTCCAGTGACCGAGCATGAAACAGAGAACCGTTGATGTACTTACGGAATAACTTTGATGTCTTCTTTTCCATGCAGGATGTAGTCGATCACTTTGTAGAAAATTACCTCCTGAAGGGTGAATTAGATAGATTAGAAACACAGACCAAAACAAGAAATGTTCCAATAAATAAAGGCTTTAATAGAGAAGTGATAAAACAAGAAAAGTTAGATGAAATAATGCACCCTTCCATCAGGAGTTACAGGGCCGCTGTACGGGGCCTGCTCTCCCATCAACACCGGCCAGATGTCAAAGAATTCCTAAAACATGGAGGGGGACATTCAGTAAGTATAACGTAAAAAAACAACAACAAACAAATTAAGGTGAGAACTTAAAGATAGGAACCAAACCTTTTCCTTTGTCATGTCTAGTAAGCCCACAGAATAACGGTCACAGTTAAGATAGGCTCTGACTGTGTACAAGGCTTTGTGAAACTGTCGCTCAATGTCAGTCAGCTCTTCAAACACCTTGTTGGCAGACCACAGCAGCAGCTGTAAGGAACATAACAGAGTTTTAACATGTAATTTCAGATTTTAAATGAACCAGAACGGTAAAGAAATGACAAGGGTTTGTCTAAGCTTTTGCTGCTACCTGTCCTTTACGTGTCTCACAGTTGTGGAGGTAACTTAGGTGAAAGATCTTAAGGTTCAGAGAAGCAATTTTCAGGTACTTCAAGAAGAGCTGCAAACAAAAAACATGAATCGCATGTTTACATATCAATTCCACATTATTGCACAGCAACTGCATGAATATATATATCATGTGATGTAGCATGAAGTTGCACATAATGGTGAAGTGTAGGAGAAAATCATGTATCCCGCAGTGGTGAGCATCTGGAGTATCCAGAGAGAACCCACATTTGCCCAGGGAGAGTGTGCTAACTGAATAAAGCCTAAATAATTACAAACTAAATGATAGCTCTTATCTCAATTTATACCATATTTAGTAATTTATTGCTGTAAGGCAACAGTGTTAAAGCTACTTCTTCATTGTGATTTTGTCTTTGTGATGCTGTTTGTTCTCTAAAATTCTCAAACAAATCAGAGTTTTCGAAAAAAAAAAAAAACAGCCAGATTTATATTGAGATCAAAATAGATATATGTGGACATTCAAAGGGCTACTTTAGAGTCTTAGAGTAAAAGGTGCTGAATACAAGCACACATTTCAGATTTAATTTTTAAGCATCCGTCTTCTTCCCCTTGTCTGTCAAGGTCATGGGGGGGTGGGTCCTTTCTCTGGCAGTCTATGGGAAAATGAAGGGATACTTCCTGGAAAAGTGATCTGTCCATCACAGGGCTGAGACATACAACAATGCACACACCTAAAGGCAATTTATATATACCAAACAACCTAACGGTCATATTGTGGGAGGAAGCCAGAGTACCTGGAGAAATCCTATGCATGCATAGGGCGAACATGCAAACTTCATGTAGAAAGACCGTAGGCCAGGAATTAAACTCAGGACGTTCTTGCTGCAAGGCCATAGTGCTAAAAACTGCTCTACGGTTATGCTAACAAGCATAAAATTCAATACATAATTTCTCCCAATACACAATTATGAATCACTTTCTGCTGATCCATCACATAAAATCCAATTAGTGTGTTGTTTGTTATAATATCACAAAATGAGACCAATTTTAACTCTGACTGGTAATGGATATTCTGTGATTATTCTTTCATTATTTCGAGTATTGATCTTACAGTTTTAGTTTAGTTTTTAATTGAAAAACAATAAGCTTGAAATGAGATTCTGGTAGTTACAAGTAAATTATAACCTAAAGATGAAGATAATTGTAAAGTGTGTTTTAAAACTAATTAGGCATTTTGTTAGTAGTTGATCTTTTAAAAATAAAATAGTGCTAATGAATGAAAAGTATGAAGCCATATTTTTTCTTTTGGCATCATTTTGATCAATATATGACAAAAGGTAAACATTTTGTTGTATCTTTTACTGTAAATACAGTGAAATCAAATGTATCAAAACCTTGCAAATGTCTCTTTTTTCAAAAAGTTAAAACCCAGAATTATGAAATGGGGCAATTTCTTTACATTTCTTTTTCTGATTTGTTTTATTTCACAAAGCTCTGGGTAAACAGAACAGATAGATAGATAGATAGATAGATAGATAGATAGATAGATAGATAGATAGATAGATAGATAGATAGATAGATAGATAGATAGATAGATAGATAGATAGATAGATAGATAGATAGATAGATAGATAGATAGATAGATAGATAGATAGATAGATAGATAGATAGATAGATAGATAGATAGATTGATTGATTGATTGATTGATTGATTGACAGTCCTAACAAAAATATCTCTTGCAAACATTTTGAAGCTGTTAATAAGATTTATCAGTTGTACTGTTTGCTGCACTTACATCTTCATCCTGAGCAGTGAAATGTGGTCCTGTGGTCTTGTTCACTGCCATAATCACTCCCACCAAGTCTTTGCCATTGAGAATGGGCGCTGCCAGCACGCACCTGGTCTCATATTCTGTTAGTTCATCAACAAATGAGCTGAAGTGCTGGCTCTGAAAATATAGAAACATCAGACACATATATATAACAAAGTTGTAGTTTTTTATGGAGTTCTGAACATTTTACAAAAATGTTGATCTAATAAAGGATTGTGGGTACTTCAGGGATTTTTTTAAAGAAAAATGCTTTACATTCTAAACAGTTGTTGGTAAATAGGCCGAAGCTATTATCTCACATCTGATTTTATTTATACTGTAAAGATGGAATGCTTGATTCAGGTAAACCTATTCTTTGTTTTTTATTCCTTCGAATGCACAGACTGCAAAGAGTTGAGGCATACTAATTTTGATCTGTTTTAGATTCCTGCTGACATGTTGGTTGAATGTGAGCACCATTTAATCCAGAGCTACAGCAGAGGCTGATGGGATCTGAGTATAAATGGATTATGTCTGACAATGGGATTTACTGCCATACTTTGTTCAGAGCTACTGTTGTTCTGAGGAGTACACACCTTTACCATAACCTAACTAACATGCCTTTTATCCTGATAATGGAGCAGAATAATTCAGGACATGGGGGCTAGCACAGAGCACCAAGCATATTGTTTTAGACATGATTATGCAAATAAACTTTGTATTGACTCTACAAGCACAAGTGCATTTATTAACCTGATTTAAAAAAGTAATTTAAATTTTAGGCTTTTGTGAAAAAAAAAAAAATCCACCAAGTGCATAATGATAAAAAAAAAAACAGGGATGTTTTCGAACAGAAACCGTGTAGCTCCAAAGTTAAACTTGTCAGATAAAAAAAAAAGATATATACATATTTTGCTTCTAAGGTTCAAAAGAGAAAAATTCTACACAGTAAAAATAAAGGTATCCAACTTTCTTCCTAAAAGTGACATAATAAAACACCATTATTACCATTATTCACATGGGTATATTGTTAATAATAATATAGGCCAAATATATGATAATACTAACAAATAATGATTTCATCTGTAAATGTGGAAACAAATAAGAGGCAGTTGTGCTGTTCACTATTTCAAAGCATTGTTCAGATATAAATGATGGAATTTTTGCGTTTGATACCAAAGAAAAAAACGTTTTAAATCATAATAGTTTAAATATCTGTTTAATTTTCGTTAAGATTATTTTCAGGTGTTTTATTGGGAGATGAGCTGAATACCTGATATGAAGTTGTGTAGGGCCCAAAAGTAATTTGACTTGAAGTCAAAATACTTGAGCTTATTATTTGGAATCCACCAACAATATTGTTAATTCCTGTATTTCCCTCTTTTTTTAAATCAGTAAATTGTTAGTGAAAAACAATAGAATAAAGTTAAACATTATTGTCACTACACTGTCACAATAGAAAGCAACAAAATGAACTGGGAGCAGTAGGCTGCCATTGTTTGGCGCCCAGGGAGCAGTGCGGGGTTAAGGGTGTTGCTCAGGATCCCAGAGTGTCAGTAAGTGGGAGTGGTGCTTGAACTCAGAACCTCTGGGGTCCAAACGCAATGCCCTAACCACTAGGCTGCCACTCCCCAACTTCAGTCCTCGAGCACCGTTGCCTTGCAACTTTTGTCTTTGTCTCTAGTCCAAAGCAGCAGAATTAAATGGCTGCAGTAGCTCCTCAGTATGCAATCAAGTCTCTTCAGTCCTACCAAATGTCTAATTATGTGATTCAGCTGTGATGGAGCAGGGACCAATCTACATATTACAGTACACTGGCCCCCAAGTACTGGAGTTGGCCTTTCTTGATTATTAAACAGAAGTAGTAGCCATTGTGTCTTTTAACAACACTCTGAAGTATTTAGGTTTGACTTTTTATGTAAAGAACTAGAATATTTGAGGCCACTTTTTGGCCATTAAGACCCTAAGTAGCAGCTTAGTTTGCTTAGCCTCAGCCCATGTGCCTCATCATAACTGGTGCGTCTTTTTGCTCTGACTCACAAACGTCTGTCTGTCTCTCTCTGTCTGTCTGTCCTCCCCACCCTACTTTACCTGTTTGACATCTTTTACATTGACGTTCTTCTTGGTGAGGGCTACGTTGCCAACTATTCCCAGGTCAAGAGGATAGACGATCTCTGAATCTGGGGGCACCACACAGTCCTCCAGGACTGAACTTGTTGAGACGTTAAAGAGCCTCGTTGCAAGCTCTCCAATGCCGTTCCGCTGCCGGTACATGAAGAGGCTGCAGCGGTCAGCTTGAATGAGAGCTCCAAGTCGCTTCAGGATCTTGAAGATTACTTTTTCCATGTTGATGCTCTCTTGCATGTCTTTGATCAGGTCAAACATTATTCGGCTTTCTTCAATCTTTAAAAAAAAAAGAAAAAATCATAATCTTTTTCTTTAATTCACAAAGATCGATCTGTTTTTATTTTAAATAATCAACAAACGTCAAACTTACCCGGCAAAGCTCCTCTAGCTTTCCAAAGTCAACTTCTTTCTCTGGGAGTCCTGATATCTTTGATATTGAAGAAGGGCTAATTGTTTTGGCAAAATACTTTGTAGCAAATGCAGGATTGTCCTGGAGGAACTTCTCCACGTCTGCTTGTTGTACACCCATTGTTTCTAGTTTCTCTTCTTCTTACAGATATTCCTTACCCTCTCCCTCCTCTGCTTAATGGAGCTCCAACGCTGCTCTTATGGAGCAACCACTTCAACAAGAAACCACGAATAAGCAAAACAAAAGTTATGCACCAAATTCCTTTTTATCTATATTAACAAATCTTACCCAGGTGATGCACAGATTTGGGTAAAAATATGTGAACACATTCAAATGCAGGATAAAAAAAAAATGTAATAATCCCCCTGTTAGTAGGATGAGTGGACTGCAAGAGGGAGAGCCCTGAGGAGTAGTCAGAGGGCAGAATCCCAGCAATCCCTCTGTCATCAGCAGATAGTGCTGAAGGTTAGCAGGGATCTACCTATACTAAACTCATCAGCTGATCATGTAGTAACAGATATGTGGGCCAAAGGACCCAGCCTTCGCTCTGCAGCAGTGCGTTCAGATCAAAATCTGTCTGAGTCTAGTCTTCAGACCAGATCTTTTAGTAAAAGGGAAAAAATATTGGGTGAGGTGTTTTTATACAGAGTAGCAACAAGATTGAAAACCGTAATTTCCTGAATATTTGATAAAACATGTTAAAATAAGTTACTGATGCAACCCCATCAGTTTCAGTTAATCTAAATATAAAGCACATTTCCACATTACAAATTAAATTCATTTTAAACGGACATGTTATTCTAAATGTATATAGGTTTCATGTGTTCAATATGATTCATCTGTTAACCTCTAAAATATGTTAAACTCTATTAAAAAGGGTTCCCCACCACATGAGCCCATTTTCTTCAGATAGAGACTTTGAATCTTACACCCCGACTATTTATCTTTTCTGTAAGCAAATTTATTCCCTTATTGTGACTTAAAGTGGATGTCCTGCATTTCCAAAGGAAAACTAATCCTTTCATTCAGAGCTAGGAGGACCTGTCTATAATAAGGCTTCATAAAGACCTTAAGGAAAAGGTCAGAAAGATAATCTGCAGCCACCATAATAGGTAACAACAGGTGTGTATGCATCTGTGTGTGTCTGACTGTTTGAGAGTTAGTTGCCCAGCTTTTACTGGCATTTTAAGTTAGGTGATTTGAGGATAAAGTAGGAATCATTGTTGTGGGACCTTTAAATAAAATTATTGAGTTATATAATGGAAATGTAATTGAAACCATGTGCTTTAAACAAGTGGGGCTAAAAAGTAACATTCCAACCTATCAGTCGAGGCAAATTGATAAAAGAAAGCTGAACTGGTGGAAAAAACACCTTATGCCCACTGTTCAATATGCTGGAGGATCTGTAATTCTGTGGGCTTTTTTCTTTGCTAATATAGACTTGTGGACTTTAAAATACCATGAGATTTACTGCACAATTCTAAGAGTCCACCATATTTTCCTTTTTATGTCCTTTTTAATTTTTTTTTATTTATTTTAGGCTTATCATATATAGCAGATAGTTGTCTACATATGTCAAGGCAGTTTTACTCAACAAAAAGAATATATCAAGACATAATGCTTGATCATGATAGGCAGAGCACATTGATTTTATAGTAACCTTTGCTAGTGTGACCGTAGAGTTTGTTCTTTATTCTTTGAGTAACTTGAGCTATTCAAAGATACAAAAATACAGTAAACCGTGGATATTTTAGCTGGAGGTTCTTTATTGATTTCTAACATATAAGCATTACCTATATTGAAAGGATTGGTTGTTTAAATTTAAGTTGAAAAAATTATGTAAAAAAGTTTTTCTTCTGAACACATTTGTTATTTTTTAATCATGTGATTTACTTGTATTCCTTTAAATGTTCTTATATGTTGAAATGCCAGAAATCGCTCAGATTTGTTTAATGTCAAATTAGAGGCTATGGGTCAACAATTATTCAGAACTTAAAGTGGGATTTTACCTAGTACTTTTTTTTTTCTTAACCAAGCACTTACTTGAGTAAATTCTTGCAGGATCACTTTCTATTTGTACTTCAGTTAAAGTAGTTGTACTCCTACTTGAGGCAATTTTTAGGTACTCTACCTACCTCTGGTACCAACCTCCAATAGATATGGACCACAGTGTTCAATTACCCAAACTTCTATCAGTCCACATAAGATTATTAAACTGTATTTCTACCTACTTACTATTAGACATGGAAGGTAATTTGTTTTTCCAGTTGTTTTTGTGATTTGATTATGAAGTGGCCTTACTGTAGTTGCACTACTTATAGGGAACAGTGGAAGGCAGCAGACACATTTATAAGTACTCAACCTTTTGCATGCTTCGCATCCAAAAAGGTAATTTTAGCCTTCAAATTACGAGAAACATACGAGTCAAAGTTGTGATATTTTTTCAATCTTGGGAGTAAAGTAACTTCCTGTTTGTATAAAAATCACAGTTAACACTGAAAACTGACAGTAACCACACACAAAAAAGTGGATAGCAATATTTGTATCTAGAAAAAATATTTAAATCCCAGAGCTGACATGAAAAAAATACACTTTTTTTGTCAATGAACCATATATGATAAAATATCATGTAGTAGCATCTCTTTTTAGCTGCATAAATGGAGGTTAGATGTAGTTAAGTTGTGTCTTTTGATAAATAGTCTGTTTTAATAGTGCAAGTGGTTGTTCAGCAGTCAAGTGAATGGATTCATAGATTGTAGTGTATGTGAGTGTGAATTCCTATAGCCATGGGGTAAAAGGTGTGTTTAAGTCTGATTGTGGCAGCTTATGATTCTGAGATTGCCAGAGGAAAGGGTAATAATAATAATAATAATAATAATAATAATAATAATAATAATAATAATAATATTAATAATAATAATAATAATAATAATAATAATAATAATAATAATAATAATAATAATAATAATAATAATAATAATCAATCCAATTAGTACCGCACTTTTCATTAACAAAAATCTCAAAGTGCTACACAGTGCAAATAAAATCAAAGATAAAAATCAACATCATAAAAATCATGTGGAGGCAGAATAGGCTTGCTTAAATAAAAAAGTCTTCAAGCCTCTTTTAAAATCAATCAGTGGTTGTGGAGCTCTCAGATGATCTGGGAGAGAGTTCCAGAGACGGGTGGTTTAAAAAGAGTTTCTTGGTCATCCTGAATCTTTGTGGCTCATCGGAGGAGAAACTTAAAGGAATAGTACACCCAAAACATGATTAGCCTTCATTTTCTACTCACCCCCATGCTGAACAACACTCTGGAGTACTTTTTTGATATCTCAAATGCATCTGGAGATCTGGGAGGCTTCTTGCTTTCTGCTGACATTCAAATAATGGACGTCTATGGCGCCCGAGACAGAAAGGTCCATAAAAGTCCACAAAAAACGTGTCAATATTCCTCCATACTGCTCGTCCAATGTATTCCAAGTGTCCTGAGTGGGTAGCGTCCAGAATTTACTCGAAACAAAGTCATTTAGAATGTTTTTAGAGCATAAACAGTAGTGTATAGGATTTCCTGAAAGCGCGTTCACGAGTCTACGGAAACCGCGGCAGACCAAACCAGATGAAAGTGCGCATTCAGCGTCTGCTCTGCCGATAATGCAAGCGTAGAAGAAGAAATGTGCTGTTTACCTGTGCAAAGAAAGAAACAACGAAAGAAAAATGTCTGAGGACTTCAGTGTTGAGGAAGAGCATGAGTTCTTTGCCGAGCTGAATGCGCACTTTCATCTGGTTTGGTCTGCCGCGGTTTCCGTAGACTCGTGAACGCGCTTTCAGGAAATCCTATACACTACTGTTTATGCTCTAAAAACATTCTAAATGACTTCGTTTCGAGTAAATTCTGGACGCTACCCACTCAGGACACTTGGAATACATTGGACGAGCAGTATGGAGGAATATTGACACGTTTTTTGTGGACTTTTATGGACCTTTCTGCCTCGGGCGCCATGGACCTCCATTATTTGAATGTCAGCAGACAGCAAGAAGCCTCCCAGATCTCCAGATGCATTTGAGATATCAAAAAAGTACTCCAGAGTGTTGTTCAGCATGGGGGTGAGTAGAAAATGAAGGCTAATCATGTTTTGGGTGTACTATTCCTTTAAGTAGATCTGCTCTAAGTGTGAAAGCTGGTAACCAATGGTCCACTAAGCAGCCATGATGATCAGCTCTGCTTGTTTGTTTTTAGATGCAGTGCAGATGGTATAGTACACTGTAAATCCATAGGTCATGTCCATGGAATGGTGTTAAGTGTGCGGTGGTAAAGGTTTTTCAGCAGAGCTGGAGAGAACTTGTTCCTGTTCAGTATTTTGAGGAATAAAAGAGACAGATGGGTCTATTTAGTAACGTTAGTAATCTAGAGTCCTAAAAACTTAGGGTATGTGAACCAGACTGCACTTCCTGTAAAAACAAATAAATTCCTATTCAGGAACAAGATTAAACATTATCGAGTGAGTTTCCTGGACCTTCTATTAATTTATTTTAATGGGTGAAAGCTCTGATAACTTCCATGCTTTTGTTGTGACCCAATTCTTTGAGGTCTTATACTAACTTTCCAAAAAGCATTCATTGCAACTTCTAGAACATAATAAACCAATTTTATATTGAGGCCTTGGAGTTTGCATTGAACACTTAATGCATGCCTGTGTTTTGTCAACAATCTATTTCAGGCAGTGAAAGTAGGATTAACATCCTGCAGCAGTCAATGGAAAAAAATAGATCAGTAGTCTTGACTGTCTAAATCCTCACTGATGAGAGCTCTTACAGGCCTCACCTTTCTGTCTGTACACATAGCAGTACACAGAGATTAGAAGTTGTGCTTGATTATAGACACCTATAGATAAGTTAGGAAGATAAGACATGACAATGTATACTTATACATATAATCTAAGAATAATGACAAAGCCAGAAATGGGACCGACTGACTTTAATTGCATAAAAAAAAATGTTTTATTTACCCTCTTTTTGTAGTTAAAGCTACCAGTGATATATTACACACTTTGTTAATAGGGCCACATTTACTTCTTTTATTTATCTATTTGGCAAGCTGTACTATTTGGGCTTGTTTATAGACAACTTCTTACAGGATTAAACCTTGGTTCCTCAACAAAGAAACAAAGCTGGCAGAAAGGCTCGTTCTAATTATTCTACCTGATGAGAGTGAGGTGAAGTGATGTCCTTAAAGTAAACTCTGCTATGTGTCTAGTGAGCCAGAAATAGCTGTATTTGTTTCTGTAGCCCTCCTTTCATGATTCCTTTAGGAAAAGTGTTTAAGAATACCTCTCGTTTTTTTTTTTATCAGCTGTCTAAAAAAATTATCTGGTTTTATTTTTGTAAAACTGTCGAGTTAGGAAAATGTATGTAAGCATATTTATATGAGTGTTATTTTTGGTAGTTTTTTTTCTGTACTTTAGAAATGACCTGCTATTATTT